AACCTAGGTGTCGTCCTAGCTTTCAAGCTAGTACTCTAATTTAAACCTAGGTGTCATCCTAGTTTTTAAGTCAGTACTCTAATTTAATCCTAGGTGTCGCCTTAGATTTCAAATAATATTATTGAGATAGATATCTTTTATCGTTTTTCTCTCTTTATTAAAACAAAAAATGTAAAATAAAGCAACAAGTGAGAGATATAATAACTGAAACTCGTATTTCCACCTGAAGGAAACCCCATGAAAACCATATTGGGGAAATGCAATAAAATCAAACGTGTGTAACTTCTCTAACTCTTCGTTCCATTCCGCAATTCTGCACTACGAATTAAATGCATTCCACAAATAACAATCGTTCTACTTCATCATATTTGTTTAGAGAGTTTGAATGGAGGATAATCAGATGGGTTGGATGAAAGATGTCTGGCAATAGTTTTTGAACAATTAAGTTTGAGTAACGGCGAGATGGTCCTGAGTCTTGTCTTTGTATATACTAATAATATATGATACTGAGTAATCGTATCCAGTTTCGGCCCTCTGGTGATGAAACAAGATTTAAACTCTGATAGTCGTCAAATGATGTGCTCATATGAATAACTACTTGCCGCTACAGCTTGTAAAGTACCACTGCCATTTGTTGACATTTTAAAAATATCCCTTAAAATATCTTGGAAACACTATTTATGGGGAAAATAAAAAACCCTCTAGCGACGAGTTGGGTAAACTAAAAGAAACAATAGGCTCGCGTATACGTATACCGCACACATCCCGCGAGAGAGCGCTCTAGTTTATCTCATCCTCAGGGGCTGAATGCAAGCTGTTCAGTTGTTATTGTAACGTCAGGATCAAACTGTGTAAGCACTTCTAGACTGTAGGAAACATTTAAACCTAGGTGTCGCCTTAGCTTTCAATCTAGTATTCAAGTAATATCATTGAGATAGATATGTATACACGTTGTGAAGCCAGCGACATACGCTGTTTTTTTGTTTGTTGTTGTTATTTGTTTATTTTTCCCCTTGAAATCTTAAGTTGACATCGCGTAGGAGCTGCCGGGAACGGTGTAGTTCTAGTAGACAGGCTCGCCTATCCCTGCTTCATTAATGAGTGGATACCACGTGTTGTAAAGCCGTACTTTAAGCCATCTGTGACGGGGATAGTTTGTGCGGTCCCGTCATTCTCTGAAGCTGAACCAGTGAGTTTTGACACGTAGAACGTGTATATGTGTGGTAGCAGCCCTAATTTCAAGCACGATTAGTGTCTTACCTCGGGCTTAAGAACGATGCCTCCTTCTGGGGAGCAACTACAGTGGAAAGTGACCCACTTTGCTTCTAATAATGGCTGGAGACGGCTTAAATGGGTAATGAAGAAAAACTTTAATATAAGTTTAACATAACAGCAAATGTACAACGTTTCGACAAGGTTTTGTCATCATCGCCTTGCTTCTGTTGCAGGGATTCGTGCTAAGAGTTTCGGTCAAGGAGTGAAACATACAATATGCACCAGACAGTGTGACGAGAAAGAGGATAGTCAGTTTCTTTGGGTCTGTTCCCACGTCATCATAATTGGTCACGTGGATTATGTATGAAACCTCCAAACTGTGTGTCCGACCTTAGAATTTCCAATCACCCATCTACAAGTTTATTCTCTTGGCAATTTTTGCGCTTTATTTTTTTTTTTTTTTTGCGAACGAACCATCTGAGATTTTCTAGACAACACAGTCGAGGTTGAGGTTGTTTGAATTTATTAATCACAAAAATATATGTTTTTTGCTCATGATTTCGACCGTTAGTTTCTCATAATAATAATAATAATAACTTACTTTCACCGAGCGGTGATATCGTGTTGACATTCCCTGGGTTAGCTTTGTCTAGACAAGCGTCCCAATACAGCCATGTCTTACTTTCGTCACAGCTTCACGCTGCCTCGACCACTGCGAAAATCCAAAATGGACACCCTGGGGAAAGATTGTGAATCTCAGACACTTCAGCGACATTCGACATTGTCCAAGTCCGAGCTAACCCTCTACACCAGTCCCTCGAATGGTTCGGCTTATTACGGACTCGATAACTTAGAAGATTACTATTCCCAAGAGAAGAGCAGTTATTTTCCAGACTTCTACGGTGGTTATTCCGTCCCTCCATGTGAAGCTCCCAGCGATAGCCATTCGGACTACGAGAGTGCAGCCAGTGAGAGTGTTAGCCATTCAGAGCTGGAGAGTGTTTCTCTCGCTAGCACTACCGCCACGAGCACTAGTAGTGGCAGCGGGAAATTCAGTAGCGGATCTCACGAAGCTATCGCAGACGGCCGTTTGACCACCCCTGACGAGGACTCCGGAAAATCTCCATTTCCGTCTGTCAACAAGAACCAGGAAACGGAGTTATTTAGTGAAGGTGTACTAGATGTCCATTGCTGCTACGATCAGAGTTCGGGAGGTTCCACATACCGACTAAACCTGAATTGTTGTGACCAAATGGAACCCTTATGGGAATGTGGCGACGATGTCCAGTTTCGACCACGAAAAGGAACCATCTGGTTTGACCGGAAATTGCGTCATAAATCGTGTCCTTTATTTCAGGTAAATTTACAGATTTCCTAACATGCGTTCTGTCATTAACATCGCGTATGTATATAAATTACACGTACTTTCTGTTTCATTAAAAATAATTACTGGAGGAATAATAAAATTGATCCGTACATTATGAGTTCTTTCTTATGTCAGAACTGTACTTTTAATAAGAAGAAACCAACTCACTCGACCACGAAGTAGAGCGTGATCAATTATTCATGACCAACGGAGAAAATTAAACAATGAAATAACTTTATTTTAGCTAGTTAAAAACAGAGGGCGGTACAGTCGACTTAATTAGATTAGATTTAACGAGGCTAATTATTCGCTATCGGCAGTTGTTATGGATTAGTTTGCATTCGGGTTATCCCAGGTCATCAGTTAAAGTAGACAAAGTAGTTATGTTTCTCTTGTCAGTTGTAGGCTTGACGTTTCGCAGCCACTAACGATTGCACGAGCACGATTTGGGGAGGGGGGTGGGTGAGGGTAAAGACCCAGAGGATTTCCGCTGCTCTGATCTTTTACTACAGTAATCAAGTAGGATTTAATAGCTTATCAAAATAATTTCATCGTGAGTTGGTTTCTACTGCTAAGATACAACGTTTAACTTGAGCAGTTATAGTAAAGTCGTCATTATTCACAGTGACGTACATATGAGGGTGGGCTCAAGTCGCTGCCTTCCTCTCCTTGTGCCCCAAAAGTGCCCTTTTTTCTCTGTCATAAAAAATTGTGAACAACTACGACAAGATACACCTGATTCCGCACCTTGCTTGGCGTGAGTTATCGGAGAGAGGTGGGGGGTGATATCAGCATTAAAATGAATGGTACACAGGGGGTGTAGGTCTATATAGTAAAAAATGATAATTTTGATACGTTGTTAATTATTCACAGTTTATTTTTTTTAATGTTTATAATACCAACCAAAGAGGAATAAAAGAGGATCCGTTTGTTCTTGTGGTTTTTACTCTGTGTATACCAGAAGCTACCCACGGTCCCTATACTCTCCTCTAACCCCGCGTCCCCACCACAAACAAAACATGCTTGGCTTAAGATGTTTGAAAAGTAGCATTTTGTCAATAAGCACCTACCCTTTCAATGTCCGTACACACTGTTATTGTGTTAACAAGAAAACATATGGTCTGGTGGAACTGTATATCTCCTAACCAACCAGATCAGTGCAAGGTGAAGACATAGGGACCCATGAGTAACATGAAGGGGGGGGGGACCCGAACGCCGACTCCTTATGCCACCCATCTAGGGATCTTGAAAGTACATGCCTAGTTTGGTGACAATGGGTCCAGCGGTTCGCCAGATATAATTGACGCATGCGGGCTTTTGTCAATCAGTGGTTTATACCCAATTATATCTCCATGCACGTGCAAGAAATTGTCTTCTTCATTCGGTCTGTAAGGAACGTAGGGCCTTCAAGTACCTCAGCTGTTTAATATTGTTTCATTTTTTATATAGTTTTTCAAACTATGCTACAAGAACGAACCTTTTCGTTACGAGCGTAGCCACTCGGCTTCACTCGTTGTAAAAAGGAGTCTTGTACACTCCAAAATGGTGTTCTTGTTCGCTTGAATAGTTTTATCGTTGCATGGAGCTCACTACCGTGGAAGAGAAGAACGCAATGATACTGTGTGATTAAACCATTTTTGTGCTTCAACCAATGGCGAGACTTTCATTGTTTAATAGTATTCTTGTAGGCCTAAAGTAGCAACAATGTATGAAAACTTTAACGATTGTTTCTAAACCACTTTTTTTTTTTTACAATACTTCCGGTTAAGTTTTATTGCAAATGTTAAACTTAAAAAATAAACATAGGCTGTATAATATATTTCACGTATTCATCTAGAACGTGGGCTGGACTAGTTGTACATCATATTTCAACTACCGCCAGGGCCTGAAATCATGTAAGATAGATCTACGCCCTTACTCTTATGAAGTCATGTAAGGTAGATCTACGCCCTTACTCTTATGAAGTCATGTAAGGTAGATCTACGCCCTTACTCTTATGAAATCGTGTAAGGTAGATCTACGCCCTTACTCTTATGAAGTCATGTAAGGTAGATCTACGTCCTTACTCTTATGAAATCACGTATTCGCTTCTTACACTAATATTGGGTTCCTCATTTTTCAACCTTGTCCCGCCTCGTTGGGATCACTAAATAAACACCGGTAAGTACACTGATTTCGTTCAGGTTTATATGAATATGTGGATTAGTTTACCACAAATTGCGTCTTTAAAATCAATCATCTCGGAGAAGAAAGGCCTCGAGTGGCATGACACTTTGAAATTTTATTTCAACAAATATATAAGAGAAAGGACTTAATATATATCTGTTGTGTCCACCGAGGGGAATCGAACTCCTGATTTTAGTGTTGTAAAACCGTAGACTTACCGCTGCCCCACCGGGGGAAGTGTGGGGGGGGGAGGATTTCATTTCGTGGCATTCACGTGGTTTCTCCCGATTGTCGAAAGAAAACTGGAAAATATATTTTTAGCGAGGAACCTACTGAACTAAATAATTAAATCAAAATTAAACAGATGCAACAATCTTTACATTCGACAACTATTGCAGCGTTGAAGTTGTTCTTCAGCCAAGAACGAGTTGATATATTTTTTATTATATTGGGTTTAGTTTGCCTTTTGTGAAAGTTACTGTTATTGTGTTTTTGAACTAATTAAAACTGGGAAATATGTTAGGAGCAAGCGCAACTTCGGGAAGGGCATTTTTAATCGTTTTTTTTTTTTGGGGGGGGGTATATTATTAAATTTGACTACCGTTGTAGGTCATTGTGGTGAAAAGAAGACTGTGTGCATAGAGGTTTTTTTTTAATATTTCATTGTAGTTCTAAGGGGAGAGAAGACGCCATCTCAGTTCTCCCCTCCCCATTCTAAATCCGCGCCTGCGTCTTACATGATGTTCCTTTTTTCGCTATTGACCTTGTCCACATTGAAATACGAGCTATCATAACGGCCTCGACACAGTTGTGCCTTAATAGCAGTAAACATGGCAAGAGACACGCCCGGAATTCTCGAGATGGGGGGTATTTAGATTGTCAGATCTTTGTTCATTAAAACGACAATAATCACGTGCTTGTGGTTATTTGTAACAAGGATCGCGTGCCCAACGTACAGTGGCGGAATATTAATAATTAGCATATAAGTCTTCACGTGTGTCTGTAACTGTGTACAAGTCCTCACGTGTGTCCCCTTCTGTCTACAAGTCCTCACGTGTGTCTATAACTGTCTTTTGTGTGTGTTCACTTGCATGTACGTCCTTAATGCTGAATTTCTCACTTAACACGTGTCCTTATCTGAGTGTAAATCTTTATATACATGTATTCTCTCTTGTGTGAGTCCTCGCCTTTATAAATGCAACTTATTTTGTCCGTCCCCCGGAGGTCAGCGGTAGCAGTAAGTTTACGGACTTATAACACCAAGATCCGGGGTTCCACAGACAGCCTAATGTGTATCTTTTCTCCAAAGCAACCAAATCAGATCTCTTGTTAGTAAGTACTCACTTCGTTTTTATAGATTTGTCAGATACC